AGATGAGTGGATACTGCCTCAGAAACCCAAGGAGGGGTCGCTATGAGGTGGGGCCAACTCGATGGCAAACAACATCAACATCAATATATGGCATAAATAGACTATCAAGCATAACCCAATATGCACAAACAGCAGATGAGAAACCAGATGATTGGAACCTTCTAAAGATTAAATTTTTATGTGCTTCCAAAGACTTCTCCAAAAGAGTCAAAAGAGAACCTACAGATTGGGAAAAAAATATTTGGTAATAACATATCTGACAAGAGACTTATCTCTAGAATTTATAGAAAACACCAACACCTCGATAACAGAAAGACAAATAATCCAATTAAAAAATAGGCAGAAGACATGAATAGACACTTCACCAAAGAGGATATTCAGGCAGCCAACAAACATATGAAGAAAAGCTCACAATCATTAGCCATTAGAGAGATGCAAATCAAAACAACAATGAGATACCATCTTGCTCCAGCACTAGCAGCAAAGTTCAACATGACACAAAATAACAAATGTTGGTGAGGATGTAGAGAGATTGGGACTCTCATACACTACTGGTGGGACTGTAAAATGGCACAACCACTGTAAAATGTGGAAAGCAGTATGGTGATTCCTTAAAAAGTTAGAATTAGAAATACCATTTGACCCAGCCATTCCACTACTAGGTATATATCTAAAGAAGTGAGAGCCAAGACAAGAACAGACATATATATGCACACCCATGTTCATCGCAGCACTATTTACAATAGCCAAAAGATGGAAACAACCTAGGTGTCCATCAACTGAGGACCGGATATCCAAACTATGGTACATACACACAATGGAATACTATGCAACCCTAAAGAATAACCTAGAATCTGCAAAACAACGCATAATGTGGATGGACTTGAAGGACATCATGCTGAGTAAAATAAGGCAATCACAGAAGGACAAATATTATATTAGTCTATTATTGTAAAAGTCAAGGAAAGGTTTATCTATGGAAGGAAATTTTCTTTGCTGGTTACCAGGGGTGGGAGGAGAGGGGAGGGAACACTGTTAGATAGGGAGAGATAAGTATTGATTTGGGTGAAGAGAAGGGCAACACACCAAATGTGAGTGATCAACATGGTAGCACTGAGGAAGAAGAAGACATAGAGAGGTACATGGGAGGTGCAGACAACAAAGATGAACCCTTTTGCACATTAAGCACCTGTGGGCTCGGGACCATCATCACAAGGGACATCAAGCTCAGTTGGCATAACATACTACACAAAACATTGTTCCACCTCCTACTTTGGCAAGTAATGATTGGAATCTTAAAAGCTTGCAAGCAACCATCTAAATGCAATGATGGGTCTCTCCTCATCCAGAGCAAAGAAGAATGAAGAAAACCAAAGGTTCATGGAAACAATTAGTCCTAGTGACCAGTACACCATGTGATCTGCAGCCTATATGACTATGAGACCAGAAGAGCTAGATGGTGCCCGGGTACCACTGTCAACCACTCAGAGGGGGATCTATGTAGGATATTCTGGATAGAGAGGGAGAACAATGTGGAACAAAACTCAAAATCATTTGGAAAAAAAAGGAGGGGCACCAGATTTGCTGTTCTGATAGAGCCTGGTGGAACCACTGACACTATTGCCCCTACCTGCCTTTCAGGTCTGGATTGAACCCACACCTGTGGTTTCTAGTCAAACAAAAGACAGGCATATGAGTTGAACATTTGCCTGAAGTAGATACACTCCTTGAAGAGAACAATCATGGAAGAAAGAAGGGCTGTTTATGCACAGGGAGACAGCTCAGGGGGCAGGAGTGCATGGAGGGATGGACACAGCGAAGAGGTAACCATTGGGAGGAAGTGGGAGGGGAACTGTTGCATTGGGGTGAATTGTAGTCAATGTTGTGAGACAAAGTGTATGTGAACTGCAGTATGGAAAGTGAATTTGCTCTGTAAATTTTCACCCAAATCACAATACAAAATAAATAAATAAATAAAATGAAACAAAATGGGGGAAGATTAAAAAAAAAAAAAAGATTTCATTTCACTTTGATCTACAATCAATACCCATGAAAGCAGCAGTCAAGAAATCAGATGTCATATTTTACTGAGCAAATCTATTGCAAAAGACCTCATTAAAGGGTTTAGGATGTGCCTAACCCAAGCCATGGTATTTTCAGTCTCCTCATATGCATGTGAAATCTGGACAATGAGTAAGGAGGCCCAAAGAAGAATTGTGGCTTTCACAAAGAATACCGAAAGTACCATGAACTGCTAGAAGAATGAACAATCTGTCTTGCAAGAAGTGCAGCTGGAATGCTCCTTGGAAGCGAGAATTGTCAGACGTGATCTCATGTACTTTGGTCATGTTGTCAGAAAGGACCACTTGGTAAAGTGCAGGGTCAGTGAAAAAGGGGAAGACCTCTAGATGGATTAACATGGTGGCTGCAATGATGGGCTCAAACATAGCAAATATTGTGAGGATGCGAGGACTGGGCAGTGTTTTTGTTCTGTTGTATGTAGGGTTGCTATGAGTCAGAGCCAACTCAACAGCACCTAACAACAACAACTTTGACTGACAGAAACTCAGAGTAGCCAGCACCACCTCCACCCCAGGAGCCAAGATGAGAACACAGTTCTCCTGACTTCCCATCCAGGACCAGTCTCTTATCTCACACTCTCTCCCTAAGAAAAGCTGGCATAAGAGAGCCAGTAGTGAATCACAGGATGGAAAACCAAGAGGCATGACCTTACCCAAACAGAGAAGCCTTCCTGGAGGAGGGTAACCTTGAACAAAGACAGAGCCTAGTAGAGCAAGGAGGAGGGAAGAGCAGGAGCAGAAGTGTGAGGCAGGGATGAGCCACTGTTGAAGGAGAAAGATGGCCAGTGGGCTGGCTTGTCACTGGGTTCACTCTTCTCTTCCCAGGTCTTTCTCAGGGGAGTCAATGAGCCTCTGGCCAACAACCCCAGACCCATGGTGGTGATTGCCCGAGTGGTTCCCAACTACAAGGAGTTTAAGTGAGTGGAACCCAGGTGGGCATGATCCAGGAGGGAGGGGAAGGCAGAGGACAGAGGAGGGGGAGAGGCTATCATTATCACTAAACGTTGTGATTCCAAGAGCCCTGGAAACATTTCCTTTCCCCAAGGCCCTTCAAACTTCCCCACTGGATTTGTCTCAGTAAACTTCTCAAAGCAGACCACACCTTTCTTTCCACAGGGAGGGCTGAGGTCCCTGGAAAGGGGCAACTCAGACCTCACCTGAACACAGACTGGAGGTAGGACAGTGGAGTCCTGAGTGTCTACAGCAGGCTTAAAAAGCTGAGAGGATCCAGTGCATGGAGAAGGAGGAGAAGGAATCCTTACTCCCTGCCTGGTGGCACCTCAGCCTTTCCAAACCTGTCTCCCCATCTCATGTGCCCACCAAATCCACAGTCCCTTCCTGCCCAGATCAGGGACATAGGAACCAGACTGTGATCTTTCCCAAAGGAAGAGGCCTAAGGCTCATCCTATACCTTATCCTTTATCCCTGCCTGGGAGTACCTCCCCTCACTCTCCTGGAGGCCCCCTGCCAGCCCTAATTTGTTCCACTCCTCCCCAAGACCTCCTTTTGGACTTATTGGATACACAGTTCTCAGGAGGGGATTTGGGCTAACTCTGCCACTGGAAGCCAGAGCAGTGAGTGGAGTTTCCCAATCAACATGTGCACACACACACACACTGAAACCTCCTCACCACCCCCCCTGCAGGCCCTCCACGCTTCTGAAGCCTAAACCTGGATTCCCACCATGGGGAGTTTATTCTGACAAGGTCTTTCAAAGAGGAGGGAAGGAATGCAAAGATCATCTTAAAAATGGCCAGAGCCATGGTTTCACCAGTGACACACTGAAGCATTCAGATGTGGCTAAGATCACAGAGAGTCACTGTGTGTCAGGGGGGAATCCCATCTCCTGACCAAGAGGAGCTTTCCCATGGCTTTGGCCGGCATCACAAGGATCATAGCCCACTACCTATGCTGCAAGGTCAGGCCTAGACTAGATGGGTCACTGAGCTCTCCTCTCACATCCATCTGATGGCTCTGAAGAGATAGCCCATGGCTTCCAGACTTGGGCACAGAGTCGAGAACATTGGGCACCATGCTGACTCCTGTCTCCTTGCCTACCCAGGTCCAGCCAGGTGAACCAAGACCCAGCATCCCTGGGTCTGCCTATTACCCAACTATCCTTCCCTATCTCATCAGTAATGAACTTTGATGTTCCTCGTATCAGCAAAAATGGATGCCCTCAGGTATGTCTCCTTCTCCCATTTACTTTCTCACTGCTTCACACTTGTAGTAACTTACTTACTCATTCATTCATCCCCTCACTCAGTCATTCATGTAGTCACATGTTTAATAAGAGTTTACAGAATCCCACTGCATACCCAGGGCCATGCTTGTCTGCACTATGGAAGCTGCCTTCAGGGAACTGCTGGTCTGGGGAAGATGATATCACACATGTGAAAAAGTTAAACATCACCACAAGGTGATGTAAAACCTGATAATAAACCAAGAGGGAATGTCAGAGCTGTAATCAGTGGAGAGAGGGATGTAAAATCTGGGCGATTAGGAAGGGCACCCAGGGATGGGAGTATTGAATTTTCAATAGGGGCAGGGGAGGTATAGGACAATTGAGATCACCAAGAGCAAAAGTACAGAGGTGGGAATACAAATGACAAGATACATATCAGGCTGCAGAGGAGGGTGGCGTGTTTGTGTATGTGCATATAGGGAAGAAGGGGGTTGGAGATCATTGCTGGATCAATGGCCAGATTGACCACTTACCATAACCTGCACTTCAGGTTATGGTAACATTCCCAGGAGCCTGAAAGAAGACTGGTGTTCTCAGAAGTCCCTCCTGTTGTCTGTCCACCATTACTCATGTCTGACATGGCAAAAAGAGAATGAGGTACCCCTCTGGAGCCCAGCTTTCATTTAAAAGCAAAGATGTTTGAAGAAGGCTCAGACACGGGCTGGAGTGATGGTGATGGGGAGGGGTGGGACACAGGGGGACCCTGGGGACAGAGGCTTCAAACCCAAACCAATCCTCGGCCTGATTTCCCCAGGGCCATCTCACACATGGCCCTGCATTTGCCCAGAAAATTATGAACCAATCAGCAGGCAGTCCCAAGGGGTAGGAACACTGTCTGCTTTAATGAGTGTGCCCCTGCCCTGCCCCCAGGTCCTCTCTGGCTGCCTTGGCTGCCTAACTAGTCTAGATGGGGGAGGTACCCCTTGATAAAGAGTCTTGTCACAATGTCTTTTGCTTATGTGAGACAAGGCCAGAGGTCCTGCAACAGCAGACACTTGTTGAAGGTCACCCATCACCATGGCAGCTGGGCCAGCTGGAGAACTCACTGGTAGCTGGCACAGACATGCCTGCCCAGGTGTCAGCAGGGGGTGGACAGGGGCTGCTGCTGTGGAAGAGGGGGAAGAAGGGTAGTGGAGTGGACAAAGTCCCTACCTGGAAGAGGCACCTGTCAGCAGCATGGGCTCAGGGTTCACACAGACCCCCTGCTCCATCCCTTCTCTGAACTTCAGTCCCCTCATCTCTACAGTCGCAGGTAGAGGGAAGAGCAGTAATTTCTAGGTCTTGTCCTCTCTGATGGGGTCATCGGTGGCACAAATAGTTTGCACTTGGCTACTAACCTAAAGATTGGCAGTTCAAACCCAACTGGGAGTGCCACATAAGAAAGGCTTGGCAATCTGCCTCTGTAAAGTTTACAGCCAAGAAAACTCTATGGAGCAGTTCTACTCTGTAACACACGGGGTTGCCATGAGTTGGAATCAACTCGATGGCAACAGGCTCTTGGTTTTTTGCCCCCTCTGACATCTTGAAAACCAAAATAAAAGCCCAAATAAACCCATCGCCATTGAGTCAGTTCTGACTCACACAGGCCAAGGTAGAACTGTTCCATAGGGTTTCCAAGACTGTAAATCTTTATGGAAGCAGACTGCCTCCTCTTTCTTCCACAGAGCAGCAGGTGAGTTCAAACCACCAATTTTTGGGTTAGCAGTCGAATGCTTTAACCACTGCATCACCAGAGCTCCTTTTGACATCTTGGGATGCTGGGATTTCCCACCAGCTTCCCACTAAGCTAAAGCACTGTGGGCAGGGAGTTTGAGGATCCAGGGGACCAGGGTTTGATCTGTCAAAAAAAAAAAAAAAAAATCCAGCCTTTGATAGGGAGAGGTGTCATTCAGAAAGAAAGAGTACTGCAACAGGGAAAAATTTTCCACTCTTGGAAAACTGCAAGCATCTCAAAATCAAACAGAAAAAGGTTTTTCTCTTATAGATAAGGAGGAGCATGCAGAGATAAGCAGAATCTTTTGGGAGAAAGCTGGACTGGCAACAGGAAATGGCCATTGGGTCTGACAGAAGCAATGTTTCACTGTGGTCAGCTAAGACCCAGTTAAAGCTTCCCCCCCCCCCCGCTAGGTTTTTTTTTTTTAAGTGCCTTCTTAGGCTTTAGGGCTGGCCGAATCCAGAGACCTGTAGAAAGAAGAGAAGCCTAAGTAAAGTTTGGTCAAGACAAAGAAGAGGAAGATTTAAAAAAAAAAAAAGACAAAGAAGAGGGAAGGACATTTTCTTTGTTGGTTACCAGAGATGGGAGGGGCAGCAAGGAGGGAAAATAGATGGAAAATTGAGAGACAGATTTGATATGGGTGAAGGCAAAAGCAATACAACAAAAGTGTGTGACTAACACAATATCAGCTCTGGTGGTATAATGCCTAAGGCATCTGACTGCTAACCAGAAGGCTGGCAGTTCAAACCCACCAACCACTCCTCAGAAGAAAGACTAGGAAATCTACTTTGGTAGTGATACCACCTCAGAAACCCAAGGAGGGGTTGCTATGAGTTGGAACTGACTCAATGGCAGTGAGTTTGGTTTTTTTGAGCACAATATCACTAAGGAAAAGGAAGATGCAGAGAGGTACATAAAAGATACAGATAATAAAGGCAAATACTATTGCATACACAATATTGTATTATCAATAGTTAACTCTAATCTATAGGTAGATAAAGAGGTAGACAGGTATAGATAGGCAAATAGGAATATACCCATGACCATACATAGGTTTGGCAGATGATATTCCTACATATGTATTTGTATGTGCTATAAAAATGTCCATATACAGTTTAAACACAACAGAAGGCAAAGTTAGGATAACTTCTTAGCCACAAGTAAGGACCTTGAGGGAGTGGGTCATTGGGCCTGCAGGCTGGGGACCATGGTTGCAGGGGACTCAAGCTCAACTGGCACAACGTGGTATACAAACATATTGTTCTACATCTTATTTCAGTAAGTAGCATCCAAGGTCTTAAAAGTGGTCATCTAAGTGGCCACTGTTGGTATCTCCTTCTCTGGAGCAAAGAAGAGTGAAGAAGATCAAAGATGCATGGAAACAATTAGTCCAAAGGACTAATGGGCCATGAGACCCTCAACCTATATGACCCTGAGACCAGAAGTACTAGATGGTGCCCAGCAATGCCAACCACTCAGAAAGGGATCAAAATTGGAGATCCTGTATAGAGCTGGAAAAAAAGTGGAACAAAACTGAAAGTCACAAAAAAGACCAGGCTTATTGGTCTGGTAGAGACTGGTGAAACCACCAAGACTATGGCCCTGAGTCACCCTTCGAGCCTGGAACTGAACTTACTACCCTGGCTTAACTCAGCCAAATAGTAGACAGGCCTATGAGCTGAACACCTACACCAGGGAGATGCACTCCTTAGAATAATCAACCATGGGAGATCAGAAGGGCAGCATATGCACAAAGAGAAATGTAGGGAGGCAGGAATGCATAGGCAGGAAGGACACAGGGAAAGGGTAACCACAGAGGAAGTGGGAGGTGAGATGTTACCCCGCAGGGAGTGTAACCAGTATCATAAAACAAAATGTGTATGAATTATTGACTGTAAAATGAATCTGCTTTGTAAAATTTCACCCAAATCACAATAAAAATTTTTTGAAAAACAAATGACAACAAAAACTGCATTAGAAACAAGGAGGAAAAAAAAAAAAAAAAGACAATGGGGAGGGTAAGAAATGGGCAGTTGTGAACATCTGGTCACACCCAGCTCTGTCTCTTACAAGTTGTGTGACCTTTAGCAAAGTGTTCTCCAGACCTGCTGATTACTATGTTCCCAAGCTGTTGTTCACTGTCCTCAAGTGGGCCTCCAGCTCATGGCAACCTTGGTCCTATGCCATCCTCCTAGTTGGGGACTGGTCAGTGTGATCTATAGGGTTTTCAGAAGTGGATCACCAGATCTTTCTTCCTACTCCATCTTAGTCTACAAGCTCCACTGAAGCCTGTTCAGCATCGTAGCAACACCCATACCTCCACTGATAGGTGGTGACTGCACATGGGATGCATTGGCCAGGAATTGAACCCCAGTCTGTGGCAAGGAAGGTGAGAATTCTACCACTGAATCACCACTGCTCCCATTTGGGCTCTTAGGAGAATGTAAAGGGAAACGTGTGCAAAGCATCCAAGCCCAGAGTGGAAGTCAAAAAGGTTTCATCCCTTTCAGAATGCACCTCCCCTAGTGCCAAATGCCGCCTCGGAGGCATGCCTCGCTATTGCCCCTGTCATCTTTGGCTACAAGTAACAGAAACCCCAACTCCATCAACTTAAACGTTGAGTACTTATTGTCACACATCACAAGAACTCCTGAGGTAGGGAGCCAGCAGAATTGGTTGATTTAGCAGCTTGGCAGAGTCCTCAAGGGCCCAGGATTTTCCCAATACGCTGAACTGCCATCCTCAACTGTACAACAGCTCGTGGGGACAAAACATAAGGCCGTGCTATTCAAGGACTCCCACCTGGATATAACCAAAGTCCTGAGGGAAAATGGAAACTCTTTTCTTCGGTGTGATTTTCTGAGAAAGCAGAACCCACCCCAGTAGACCTCCCCTCTGGTCCCATTGGCCTGAATGGGGTCACATGAACTTGCCTGAGCCAATCACTGGGGAGAGGTGTGGCTCCACCTTGCCCACAGCGATTGCCGGAAGGAGGGACCACTAGCGCAAAACTGGGTTCTATTGGCCTTGAGAGAGGCTACGGGTGGGCGGTCCTCAGTGCGTGCTTTACTTCTCTTGGAGCGTTGTGAAGATGGCAGAACCTGGAGCTTGTCGGAGTAGCACACTTTGTGGGAGGTCAGGCTTGACCTGCTGGACTCATAATGGGGCGGGACTTAAGAGGTGGTCCTACCACTGCACCCAACACCTTTGAAGGGGCCCACTGAAAGGCAAAACTTCTTGGCCTGGTCTACAGAGCTGGGCCTCAGACAAAAGGCAAAAATTTCTGTCACCTCCTGTTTAAGCCCCCACAGCCAGTCTCTTCCTCAGCTCTCAAGTGGCTCTTTTCAATCCTCATAGACCCTACCCTAGGGCTGGCCTCATCATCTCTTGCCTGGACTACTGCTGCCACCTCCATTCATTTCCTTCCACCCATTCTCTTGAGCAGCAGGCAGAGCAACCTTGTCCTTGTCACCAACAGGACAAACCCCTCCCCTTAGCCAGTACACAAGCCCCCTTTCCACCCTCCAGCTTCCTAGTTCCCTGCCTCATTCACACAGGAGTTCTCCACACCCATGCTGTCCTCTCTTACCTCCCAGCTTTTGCCTCCACTGCACTCTCAGCCTGGAATGACCTTCCTCCCTCTACCCACTGCCCTCATCACTGAAGTCCTCCCTTCCCCAGGTTAAAAGTCAGGTTTCTCCTCAGACATTCCAGCTTCCACAACTTGCTTAGGCCTCTGAGGGGATCATAGGTGTGTGTGTGTGTCCTACCCCTATTGCTCTGGAAGATTATGAGCACAGAGACTGGCTATAGCTCCCTCCACTCCCTGTGCCCTGCAGCACTCCACAGATGTCTAGCATAGAAAAGTCCCCCAATCAACATTTGCAGTGTTTGGTTAAATTGAACTTCCACCTTCACAACAAATTATCTAATGTCTCCTTCAACCCTCACAGCCTTACAAGGTGTAGAGCACAAAACACTTTCCTATTGGACAATGAGAAAACCGGGTTGTAGAGAGGCAAAGGGACTGGCCAAAAGTCACACAGTAAGGTTGAGGCAGGCCCAGGACCAGAGCTGAGGGGTCTTAGCTCCCTGGAGGCCCTGTGCCCAGCATCAGTGCTGACCACTATTCTCAGGGTGGTGGGCACTCTGCCTGGGCAGAGCAGACAGCAGTGAGTGGACCCAGAGGAAATGGGAGCAAGGTCTGTGGGCCCTGGACTGAAGGCTCTGTCCCCAGGGAAGGTAGATCTGCCACTGTGGCTGAGGGTTAATGGCTTTTCTGAAAATCACAGCTATAGGTTAATCACATTCCTTAGATCTACAACCCAAATGTGGCCTTTCTCTTTACCATCAGCAAGCAATGGCTCCTTTACACTCCCCACCCCCCGCTCCCCACACACTTATCAGCCACTAGCATGTTTATCAGGACCCTGGCACCAGATTCTGCAGGTCATTTAACCTTGCCCCCCACACACACACACATATACACACACAGGAGAGTAAGAGAGAGGGATCCTAAGTCCTCAATTCTGAAGGTATCTTTCCTGGGGGCTCTGAAAGGGGCTGCCCGTTGCTGGGTAGGCATTCACCACCCTCTGCTTTGTAATTTCCATCTGGACAATAGCTGGACCTAGAAAGGACAGCATCATCCATTAATAAGCCTCTTCCAGGGTGGCAACCAGGAACCAACAGCCCTGGACTGAGTGGCAGATCCATCTGGAGCACCCCAGTGCCCAGCAGGTGGTCCAGGCCATATAGATGCCTCTCTGGCACCCAGACTGGAGCCTAGGAAATGAGGTGGCTCTGGGATGGAATGGTTTGGGGGTCTTCTGTGAAAGATAGTTCCTAAGTACCATAGAACCCAGAACCAGCTTCTCTGATCTGGTGTGGTGGCCAGGGGAACTCCCAGCACCCCGATTACTGTCCCCATGTTCAGGTCGCCAAGCCCCAAAGTGACTGCAACTCATCTCCCTCAAGGGCAGGGCAGACACAGCTGAGCCTTAGTCTGGCCCTTGGAGACCCTGGGCAGGCACATTAGTGTGACAGGCGTCAGGGCCCTGCCACCACAGGGGGGGAGTGGGCCCACACTGGTATTTCACGATCTTGCATCAGTAACTCCCAGAGCTGGCAGTGCATTTGTGCTGACCTTTTAGAGCGATGACTGATTCCCGCAGGGCATCGGGAGGTGGGAGCGGCTGCCACTGTTGCTGACAGCCCCTGGCTGGGGGCAGAAAGGAGGCAGCCACTTAGAGAGTCTGTGCTGACAGGGCCCCCAGCTCCTCCCCACCTGTGCTAGTTCCAGGCAGGGCTGGGAGTTATAGGAAGGGACCCCGATCTCCCAGACCCCACTGTCCCACTCTCCAGCCCTGCAGATGTGGGCCTTCACCTTCCCGGTGTCCTCTGCACATGCCATGCTGGTCCCATCTCCATACTTTGCTCATACTGTTTTCTCATCCAGATCTTTCTCCCCTTCATCCCACCAAATCTGCCTTCAGAGCCTTCCTCTGGTCCTGCCTCCATCAAGAAGGCTTTCCTGACTACCCACAGGAATGTCTCCTCAAGCCTCCTTGTTTGGGGGCCATAGTTAATGCTGAGGAGCACTGATGTCACAATGGTTAAGCACTCGACTGCTAACCAAAAGGTCAGTGGTTCAAACCCACTAGCTCCTCCATGGGAGAAAAGACCTGGTGATCTGCTGCCTTAAAGATCACAGCCTAGGAAACCATATAGGCAATTCTACTGATAGGGTTGCTATGAATTGGAATTGACTCAACAACACATAACAGTTAATGCTGTCTTCTTTAGTTGTTTAAACTAATACTACCCAAGTGTGCTCTGTGTACCATCAAGTCCCCTGAACGCCCAACACACTGCCCTGCAGACACACTGAGGCTCAGGGGTCTGAAGGACTGTCAGGGCCTTCTGGGAGGGGCTAGGCAGCCTGCATGGGATAGAGACTTGCTGGTAGAAAGGGTAGAACCAAAATACCAAACCATATTGCCATCGAGTCAGTTCTGACTCATAGCAACCCACACTGGGTTTCCAATGCTTTCAATCTTTACGGAAGTGGATTGCCTCATCTTCCTCCTGTGGAGTGACTAGTGGATTTTAACCACCTACCTTTTGGTTAGTGGCCCAATGCATTTACCACAGCACCACTAGAGCTCCTTAGAAAGGGTAGTAGTTATGTGCTGTAGAGTTGGACCCGACTCATTGTGACCCCTCCTTGGGTTTCCGAGGCAGCATCACTGTGGAAGTAGATTGCCCAACCTTCCTTCTGAGGAGAGGCTGGTGGATTTGAATCTCCAGCCTTCTGGTTAGCAGTCAAGTGCCTTAGGCACTACACTACCAGCACTCCTTTTTCCTAAAGAGTTACCCCAATGCTCATAACCGTGATTGGTGGTATCATAGATACCAATTTAGACATGACTCTACCCTTTCTAGAGTCATGTCTAAATCCAGAAAGGGTAGAGTCATGTCTAAATCAGTATCTATGACACCACCAACCATGATTATGAGCATTAGTGTAACTCTTTGGAAAACTGTTTACCAGTAATGAATCAAGTGCCTCAAAATATGCATGTCTTTAGCTCAGCAATTCCATTTTAGGTACTTGTACTAAGGAAATAAGGAGCCCTGGTGACGTAGATATTTAAGTGCTCAGCTGCTAACAGAAAGGTCAGAGATTGGAACCCACCCAGTGGCTCTGCAAGAGAAAGACCTGGCAATCTGCTCCCATAAATGTTACAGCCTAGAAAAACCCAATGGGGCAGTTCTACTCTGTTGCACAAGATCACTATGAGTCTAAAATTGACTTGATGCCACCTAACACCACCACCACCACCACTAAGGAAACAATCTGTGTGAAAGTATGTTCAACAGTGTTATTTATTATAGGAGAATATGAGAAGGGACAAACCAGGGCACTGGTGGTGCAAATGCTCAATGTATTCACTTGCTAACCAGAAGGTTGGAGGTTTGAGTCTACCCAGAGACATCTTAGAAGAAAGGCCTGGCTATCTGTTTCCAAAAAGTCAGCCATTGAAAACTCTAACATACATGGAGTCACCATTAGTCAGAGTCACCCTGGTGATACTGTGGTTAAGTGCTTGACTCTAACCAAAAGGTCCATGGTTCAAATTCACTGGCTGCTCCATGGGAGGTACATGAGGCAGTCTGTTTTCATAAAGACTGTAGCCTTGGAAACCCTATGGGGGTCGCTGTGAGTCAGAAGAGACTCAGTGGCAGTGGATTTGATTCTGGTCTTTGCTAAAGTCATAATATGGGTAACAAGAGTTTCTTGTGATCCTGGATATGCTTACATTTTAATGGTTAATGAAAAAGGCAAGATGCTAGGATGATAATTCTATTAAATAATAGGTACAAGGGGGAAAAGGCTAGAAAGAATCATGTAATCTTACCAACAGTCATCTTTGGTTGTAGAACTATAGGTATTTTTTCCTTCTACTTTTCTACATTTTCTAAAATGTATTCAATTAGCGTGTGTTGCTTTTATAACTGGGCCAACAGTGTGACACATCTAGGTACACACACATCCAAATATCTGGTCATCCCTTGATTTGGGAGAAGCTGTGTTCCCAGCACCTGCTCCCACCCTCTCCTTCCAGCTGACCAAGCCTGGGGGCCCCCCAGAGCAGCCCCTGTGGAATCAGTCCTTCCTCTTCCAAGGCTCTGATGGAGCCACCACCTTCTCAGAAGACACAGCCCTGGTCTTGGAATACTACTCATCATCATCAAGTGAGTGCCCCCTAGGGCCACACCAAGGTAGCAATGGTGTCAGGAGACATGGGTGAAAGGATGTTCAGACCATCCTCAGACCATCCGGCCTCTGCCTTCCACAGTGATGGGTTAAGTGTCCCAGATTCCAAGTGCATACCCACAGATGGAGGAAGAGACTGGCTCACCTCCTTGCCAAAGTGACAGCTCTGGGGCAAAGGTCAGGACTCATGGGTCCTGTTCCCATAATGGGTCCATACTTTTTTTTTTCGGTCTGTACTTTTTTACTGCACCCCCAGTGCATTCATCAGTGAGGAGGCAGATAATGGGTCTCTTGGAGCTCACAGCCTACTGGGAAAGCAGGACTCAGAGACCAGCTAACCCATAGTCTAAGCAAGCTCCACACTATGGGGTTGAAGTCCCCAAAAACCAGAGGCAAAGGAGAGCCATATCCAGAGACACAGAATATGTTTAGGGTTGGTCTTGAACTCACGAAGCCCTGAAGAGTAGGAAAGGAGGGATGCTTGTAGAGAGAAAGACCAGGAAAGAGGAAAGAAAGTGGGGCATGGAGATAAGAGAACTAAATGGCTGATATCAAAGGGTGGGGCTGCGGTAGGGGCATAGGCACTGGGATCTGAGAAGCTAGGGGTGGAGGCTTTGGTTGTTGTTGTTGTTGTTGTTATGTGCCATTGAGTCGGCCCCGACTCATAGCGACCCCTCCTTGGGTTTCCGAGGCAGTATCACTGCGGAAGTAGGATTGCCCAACCTTCCTTCCGAGGAGTGGCTGGTGGGTTTGAACCGCCAGCCGTCTGGTTAGCAGGCAAGTGTCTTAGCCACTATGCTACCAGAGCTCCCCCTAGGAGGCTTTGGTAGGAGCCTGAACTAATGGACTCTCCACCCCTCCCCTACTCTCCACCCAGTGAAAGGCAGTGAACCGTGGACCTTCAGCCAGCCCCTGGGCATCTCTGTGTTGCCACTCAAGAATCGTTTGTACCGCAAGATGCTGATTGGGAAGGGGCTGAGCGGGCTGCGCATGGAACGGCTCCCCATCATTGTGAGTCCCCCACCTGCAATGGCCCTACCGGCCCCACCCACCCTGTCCCACCTTCCCAGGAGAATTTGGCTTCTCAAACAGCTTCTATCAGGGCTCCCACTAGGGAAGCTGACAACTGTCAAATGTGAGACACCTGCAGGGATACCATACTTCAGTCTTGGCTCTGGAGCCTGTAATGAACCTGCCAGAGGAACTGTCCCTGAGCAACTTGAGGAGAATCAGGGCGAGGCCTGTGGGATAGTGACAAGAGCTCAGGCTTCAGACAGCCAGACCTGGGTTCAAATCTTGCCTTGGCCTCTTCCTTACTGTGGAACCTAGGGCAAGCCACTTAACCTCTCTGAGCCTCAGCGTCCTCATCTCTAAAATGGAAACAACAACCCCTTAGGAGGAATGAGTGAGATGAACAAATGTAAAATGCCCAGCACAATATCTCTTTGTATAAGGAGATAATGAAGAGTCCAAGCTATCTGGGTCCACATGCTGCTCCATCATTTACCAGCTGACATGACCTTAGGAAAAATTCTTAAAGTCTCAATGCTTCAGTTTCCATGTCTATAAAATGGATACATAGTAATAATGCTTTTCTCATAGTATTGCTATCAGATTTTGTGAGAAAATACATATAAACATTAGACAAAATCAGACATATTCTTAGAACAGAATATGCTGTTATAAGAATTAATATCATTATCTATTTCTATACCCCTCTTTTTTTCCCCTAGAATACTTAGGGCCATCCTGACATAATAAACCCACTGCCATTGAGTTGATTCTGACTCACAGCAACCCCCACTGGGTTTCCAAGATGGTAAATCTTTACAGAAGCAGATTGCTTCATCTTCCTTCCACTCAGCAGCTGGTGGGTTTGAACCATTAACTTTCTGGTTAGCAGTCAAATGCCTTAGACACTGCCCCACCAGAGCTCCTTACTTAATAAAGAGGAACTTCTCTTTCTGCCAGGAAGTGCTTAGACAGGCCCTGCCCCTGTGGGGGTCATTTAAAGGGCTTGGTCAGTCAAGTCTCCAGTGGAGTTGGGAAGGGTGGGTGTGAAGGTGGTGAGGGTAAACTAAGCTTCTAACTGATTCATTTCAATTCAACCTCCTGCTGAAGATTGCATTTCCACCCCAGATATACTGAAGCAGAATCTACAATTTAACATAAGAATCACATGGGGATCTCGTTACACTGTAGATTCTGATTCAGTGTTTCTAGGATGGAAAAGCAAATTCTCAGCAGCAGGATGAACCAAAATGAACTGGTTCAAAGTCCTGGGGTAAATAGAGGCAGAAAGCCTGCTCCCACCTCTCTCACACTCACCTGGGCACAGTCCCCAGCCGTCACCTTGCTGGGGAATCAGAATGGTAGGTGGAAAATAGACAGAAGCTGCCCTGGCCAGAAGCTAATGGCCTCACTGACTGCTTCCTCCTCTTCCCAGAAAACCAACCTGAAAACCATAAATGGTAAGGCTCCCACGGTGGATCTCTCCCTCCAGCTGCATTCTTCAGAGGTAAGGCTGCCTGCGGATCAGGGGAAAGTTAAAAACCAAACTCAACTGTTGTTGAGTCAGATCCAACCCATAGTAACCTCTCCTTGGATTTCTGAGGCGGTATTTCTGTGGAAGTAGTTTGCCCAACCTTCCTTCCAAGGAGTGGCTGGTGGGCTTGAACCACCAGCCTTCTGGTTAGCAGTCAAGTGCCTTAGGCACTACGCCACCAGAGCTCCCAGGGGAAGGTTAGGGCCTGGCAGACAGACATGTGCTGGCTCTGCGGCCCCTCAGTGGTTCCAACTTCCTTCAAAATTGCTGACCTTAGTCAGGGGCTGGGGGCCAGGGGCTCCAGAGGAGTAACTGCTGCTTTGGATGAAAATGTCTGGGGTAAGTTGAGGTTCCAGGAACCCAGAGAGAAGGTTGAGGCATGATTGTCCCTGTTCTACATATGTTCTTGTTGGGTGCCATAGAATTGGTTCCAACTCATAGTGAGCCCGTGTGACAAAGTACAACTGCCCCATAGTATTTTCTTGGCTGTAATCTTTCTAGGAACAGATCACCAGGTCTTTCTCCCTCAGGGCTGCTGGGTAGGTACACACTACCAGTCTTTCAGTGAGCATCTGAGCACTTAACCAGTGTCCCACTAGGTCTCCTAGTACTCCAGGAAACCAGAGAGGAAACTGAGAGATTAGAAAGAGAAGGTTGAGCACAGAGGACTCCCTGAACCTGGGAGTCAATTCTAACCCACCCAAGCTAAGTCTGGCTCACTAAGATCAAGCACCTACTAGGGTGAAGGAGCTCTGGTAGGGTAGTGCCTAAGGCACTTGACTGCTAACTAGAAGGCTGGCGGTTCAAACCTACCAGCCACTCCTCAGAAGGAAGGTTGGGCAATCCTACTTCCATAGTGATACTGCCTCGGAAACCCAAGGAGGGGTTGCTAAGAGTCAGGGCCAACTCGATGGCAAATAACAACAACAACTAGGGTGAACTGGGGTATTAGTTTTCTATTGCTGTGTAACAAATTGCCACAAACACAACAACTTGAAACAACACCTGTTTATGAGCTCACAGTTCTGGAAGTCATAGTCCAACACAGCATATCTGGGGTTCTGCTCAGGGTCTCATAAGGCTGAAACTAAGGTATTGGAAGTCCTGTACTCCTTTCCAGAGGCTCTGAAGAAGAATCCACTTCCAAGTTCATTCAATTGTTGGCAGAACCCAGTTCTTTGCACATATAGGACAGAGGTCCCCAATCTCTTGCTGACTGTCAGCTGGGGACCTCTCTCAGCTCCCTAAGGTCACCCACATCCCTTTTCACAGGGCCTCCTCCATATTTAAGCCAGCAGGCATGATGAATCCCCTTCATGCTTTGAATCTCTTTGGCTTCCTCTTGGGTCAGTAGCCAGAGAAAACTCTCTGCTTTTAAAAGGGTTCATGTGATTAGGCCAGGCTCACCCCAATAATCTCCCTATCTTAAGATCAACTGTGCCATATATCATAACAATCACAGCAATGATATAGCATCGTGTTCATGGGTTCCAGAGATTAGGATACAGAATATAAGGGGCCATCTTCCAGTTTTAGAATTCTACCTACCACAGCTAGGTTGATCCAAGTGGAAAGATACCTGGGGCTGAGCCCTTCCTAGTGGTTGGGCCTCCATCCTTCTAGCCAGCTATGCCTGGCTTCCATGAGTCCAGCTGCACCCTGGTCAGTGGACTCCAGAGAACCTGGCAGGTTCCTGCTGGAAGTTTTCCACTTTTCTCTGTGGTGCTGACACTTAGGAATAGGTGTAAAGCTGGAGTGTTTGCACAATTTGGGAACATGAACTCAGGGAATGGTGGGTCAGCCCACTCCTGCCAGCTTCCTGTGCCAGGAAAAATAGCCACTAGTTCTGGGGTAATACTTGGTCTTACGTGAAAATGTCAATTCTACCCAAAGCAATCTATACATTCAATGCAATCCCAATCCAGATCCCATCAACATTCTTTAGGGATATGGAAAAACCAATCACTA